GTCTTTAGTGTATGCATGATTTAGATGTCTCAACTATCAGTTGTTGCAATAAGAAGTATATCCGGATATCAAATGATAATGCTTCTTGGGGTACTGATAAGGTAGATGAGAACCAAAATAACTATCCATTAATGATAGGAGGATCTGGAGGATTAGCTTCCATTGAGATGCGAGATATTCTTGATTTAAGGAAAAATTGTTTTCTTGCATTAAGTCAGCAGACCTGCTTTAATTTCCTAGAGATGTCTAACTGTGTCAAAGCTCCACTATAAAATTATAGAATAGCCTAGCAGTAACCATGTCGGCAGAATTCAGGCAGAATACTACAACCCTTTTTCCCCACTCTTTTGGGACATTTGTGGTCCACAACCAGCCACTGCTGGCATCCAAGTGTGATTGGGTCCAATGAACCTATATACTGAGTTATTCAAGCTCTAATTAACTTAAGTGGGAGGTGATTGGCCTCACCCAATCTCAACCAAGCTTTTAGCCATACACTGAGGTTTGATCAAACAAGCTTAGTAGGCAATTTGAAAGCACTTCCAGATAAATTACCATAGTGTAGAACTTGAACTGAGCTTGCCTCTAGCTTACTGTCAGAAACTTTTGAAACTTGAAGTAAGACAGTAATGACTAGAGTTTGAGGTAAAGCGAGTGGCTCAGTTTGTATGCAGCCATATCAAGCCAAGACTGCAAAATTTTAAGCTTTTGAACCACCTAAAATGAATCTAAACTAGAGGTTTACTGTTTTATTTCTAAAATCACTCGATGATCTGCAGGCCGAAAGACTGTCAGAATTTTATGAAGTGTGCAAAAGCATGGACATTGGACGTGGAGAAACATTTATAAAAATTGAACAGGTTCTGTTTTTCATAGATCTGTCCTAGTTCTCCTGGTAGTTAATGTAAGCAATCGTTTTTTGTATAAAAGAATTGCCAGATCTGACTGAAGTTATCTTATAAAAATATAATGGCAGCCCCCTGCATCGTTTCTAACCACAATGGAGGACTATGTGAGAGATGCTCCACGATCTTCGACTGTTGGCAAAGATCAGGTTAGAAGCCTACTTGGTTTATCTTTGCAAATTTTCAGTTCTCTGTAATATCTTCTTTCAATACACTTATTCAGCTACTGATATTTCTATGTCGGAAAAGTGATATGCAAGCTGTAAAAATTTAAGCCTGCTTAAATTAGAGCATCATTCAAAAGAGGATTTGATGACGTAATGGATAAATTACAAGACATATACAGGATAGACTTCCATTTATTCCATTTCATGAGTTTAATTGAGATTAATTTTTGACATGGAGGCAAACATTAGAAAGTAAAGGTTTTTATATTAAATAAAAGTAAGGCTGAATATGGAAATTTGCTTAGATAAGAACTGAGAGTGCAGCTAAGATGGATGGACAATAAGTTAATTGTTTTAGAAATGATTTAATCTATTGTGCTACAGGAAGAAAAGATCACATTGTTCATGGAGTAAAAACTATGATGATTAAAGCTTACAAAACTAATGGGAGATTTGACGTAATTTTCTTGTGCCCCTTCAATTAAAAGAAAATTTGTATACAATTGTTGTATGGTTGACCATACTTGCAGGTTGGAGAATTGGGAGTGAAGACATGATATACAAAAAGTTAGTGTAGCCAAGATGAAAATATTGAATGCATATGTGTGATTATTAGAAAATAAAATAAAGAAATGTTTTATTTGCGAATGAATAGGTATAGCCCTGATAGAATGAGAAAAGAACGTTTAAGATGACCTATACATGTCATCATTGAGTTAGATGAATCGATTCGTACTAGAGTGCCAAAAGAATAGAGGAAGATCTAAGAATTTTTTATTAAAAACAATAAAAAATTAATTCCTCTTAGTTTTACTAGGAATATTGTCCTATTTAGAACTTAATGACGAGAAGATATCTGTCTAGCCGACTCGAAGTACTTGGAATGTTACTGCTTGTTGCAGTGTAGCTTTAACATATAATTTAGTTCCTCAGTTGCAGTGTGACATTAGATGAAACATAAATGAGCTCCTGATATGGTTGGTGAAATTTGAATTGTCCAGTTGCGGTAGTCTTTTTGGGAAAATTCATAAAATCATTGTTAACTTTCAGTTGGTACAATCTACTCAAAATTATGAAGCAAATTGCTGTTTTTGTTGCCAGATTTTTTCAGAGCTCCTTTGGCAGTGATTAGATAACTTGTAATTCATGATTTAGATCTTGTTCATGGCATTGAGATATATTACTCTAAATTATCTTCTGAAACGAACTCACCAGTATCTGTTGCACTTGCAATAGTACCTCAATATGAATAGATGATCTGCAATAGTAATTATCATGTTAATGCGCCTTCTTTATCCAATCTTTTGTGTTTTTCCTGTAAGTACTAAAATCTAGTGTCTGAATGGTTAGGTGGTTGCATCTGAATTCTCTTATATCCTTCTTGATTCTAGTGAACTGTTAATTTCTTGAACACGTAAACATTTTTACCCAGGCAAGAGATGAGAAAGATGTTTCTCCAAAGGTAGTATTAGCAATAGAGTACAAGAAGACTCCTGAAGAGGAAGAAGCACCTCCACCGCCACCTCCACCACCAGAACCAGTTAAAGTGGAAACCCTTGTGTCTGAAGTATCAGAACAGACAGACTTGCTGGTATTGAATAGATTCAAATGTGATGGTTCCTTTTAGCCTTTAATATCTCTGAGCTATGGTTCAACTCATTTTTATCAGGGATTAAATGATGCCAACCCAGATAAATCGGAGCTAGATAGCAAGAATGCTATGGCACTTGCCATTGTTCCAGTTGGTAAACTACCTAACCAAAAATTTCAATGCTCTATTTAAGTGCATCTACTGGTCCCTTTAATTTTTTCCCTTTCTGAATGCAAATTATGCAGATAATGTTTCAAGCTTTGCTACCTCTAGTAACCCAGAAAATGGAACTACAGGCTGGGAGTTGGCACTTGTGACAGCTCCCAGCTCAAACGAAACTGCTGTGGCTTCAAGTAAATTGGTATGTCTCATATTCTGAACATGTATACCTGAGCTGGGTTCTTGGTTCTTGAAAGCTTTTGCCATCAACATGGATAGATTAGTTGGGACCCTGCATGTGAACAATTATGCAAATTTGCTTGTCTACTATCATAAGTGCATTCACTTGCCTGCAGGCTGGAGGACTGGACAAGCTTACATTAGACAGCTTATACGATGATGCAGAGAGAATAGCAAATCAAAATGTGACCTACAACCCATGGGAGTTGGCTCCCATGGCAGCTCCAATGATGCAACCAATGGTTCATGACCCATTCTATGCTTCAAATGCAATTGCTGCACCTCATTTGGTGCAGATGGCAGCAATAGCCCAGCAACAGCAAGCTTTCCTGTTCCAGCAGCAGATGATAATGGCTGGTCAGCAACCTCACCAGGCCCCTGTGAACCCTTTTGCTAATCCATATGCAGATGTTCCATATGCTTCAGGAGTGCCTCTTCAAGCATCCAATGCATACACTGGTCTTATCTAGATGAGAGAAATGCTCTTATATTTTGTTCTTCACAGGATTACTGTCAATAGTGGTTGATGACAATTTTTATGAGGCATATTGATCCATAGTCATGATTTATTTCTAGTGGCATTGTATATGCTATGTAACTATTTATTTGCATTGTGAGTGAGGAACAATATTTGATTATTTGTTACCATAGATTATAATAATGAAGATTATTTTCTATGATTCTCTATGAATCTTTATTCCAGCAACCAAAGTTGTATAGTGCAAGAAGCAGGTATGATACTAGTGCTTCAATGATTAGAATTTAAATGTGCCTTTCTTTCCCCATTGGTTATTCAGGAAACTTTGGTTTTCATTTGTGTTGATTCCAACCATAGCAAATTAAACATTCTTATATTTTTCTTCTTAATCAGCATCCTTTTGACTGACTCTTTATCTTCTGGCTAACTGAAACAAAAAAAAAAAATCCAAGACCTTGTTCTTTTGATTGTTTAACTCTCTGGTGTCATTCATTTACAAGATTTGATCATTGATGGGTATTAGAATTAAGTGATTCAAATTCTTGGTGTCTGGTTGGAGGAATTTTGATTTTAATTCTCATGCAAATTTACTGTTATTTAATATGCCTCCATTGAACAATTACATAAGATGGGGACTATGGTCTGACTCCAAATCCAATCCAAATGTAACCCAAGTCTAACTTGAATTGGCAAACTAATATACAATATGTTCTCTAAAGCATTTTATACACTCAAAAGTCTCAACCTTAATTTTTTCAAACACACACAAATCAACCAATTTAGTTGTTGTCAATCACCTCATAAGATTATAATGCTTGTTACGATATATTTTTATACCTAAAATAATAATCTATAATGATATTTTCGACTCGATCGATGATCGACAACTTCATCCATTATATATATTTTTTATTTTAAAAAATAATATAATTGGTGACATATTAGATCCATCCAACATATTTTTACATTTAATATATGATATATTTTAAAAATTTTTAGAAGGTACTTATTAGCTTTGCTGGTAAAGAGTCAAATTATTGAGATCATAACCTCTACACACCAAAAAAAAAAATGTCATTAAATATTATATAATACAATTTAATTTTATTAATTTAATAAATAACATATTGTAATAGAGAAAGATCGAGGTAATTATGTATATATATTCTTATAAAATTTAGTATAAATTATATATATATATATATATATCTTTATTGTTCATCTCATATTTATCTTTTTAATTTAAATTAGTTAATGTTAACAAGAATAGTTATTTCTCCTATGGGGGTGAGGGAAAAGGGAGGGGTATATGTGAAGATATTAATATTTAGAGGAGCTTTTATAATACATTAAATCTTAAATAGGTTAATTGAATTATTTTTAAGTTTGTATGAGGATTTATATGTAAATATTCCAATATAGAACGAAGCCGCTTCGTCTCTCTCTCTCTCTCGCTCTCTCGAACCATCGAAGACCTAACCATGGCGGTCCGTGGTTTCCGTGGCGTGAGGGACGACCTATCCGAGCTCAGTCGCCACCTTCTCGATGTCGCCTGCTTCCTCTCCCCCCTCCTCCCCCTGCCGCACCACGACTCCCCCCCGCCGTCCCCCCGGCCCGCCGCGCCGACCCCTCGCCCCTCCGCGAGGGCCCTGGCTGGCATCCTCAGCGACCTCGCCGAGATCGGAGGCGGCTTCCGAAGCGGCCTCTCTCGCCTCTCCGGCGCGTTCCGGGGCCCTTCTGATCGGGACAGGGGATGCTCCGGCGATGCGAGGACCGTCGGGGTGTCTGAGGAGGTGCTTGAATTCGTCGGCGATCTCGTCAAGTGCCCCGAGTCTTGGCTGGAGTTCCCGGTGACTCTGGATGACGGTAGAATTCCTTGCTTCATTAATTCGGAGATGCTATCATCTCAGTCGATTACATTCTTTCGCGTCTTTTCTTCCTTTGCTTCGATTCTTGATTTTGGAAATATGTTATCTACGCAAATGATGTTTGAATAAAGAATTTTGCTAATTTTGCGTTATTAAGTACAAACTCTTTGATGTGTTAGATGTAACATATTTCCTTTCGGCTTTCATTATTAGTTATAATCTTGCCACTTGGAATATTTCTTATGGCATCATGACTTCCCAATAACTTCCTTTATCTGTTACCGTATACTTCGACACATAAGAGTCGAATTATTCCCTTTGTGTTTTATCTTCTGGCAATTTACCTAGATATTATTGACTGTCACCTCTGGATTTAATTTGGCTGCTGTTTTATTATAGGTTTTAAGTCATATGTTCGGCTAGGGATATTGCCTTTTCACTGTTAGTATAGTTACTTTAGAGCTAATCCATTTTATGAACACAGCTAGTTTATTGTATGGATATTGTTGGCTTAGATAATCTAAAGAGAATATTATTCTTCTAGATGGATGAATCACCACATGTTAGGTATCAGGTCTATTAAGTTGGAAGATTCTGGTCAACAAGTTTTGTTATTGTTTTTGTGGAACATGCAAAATTTAGTATTGTAGTGTAACCATAAACTGCTTGTGTTCTTGATCATGCCGGGGATGCTTGTGGCATGAACGTGGTAGCCCTAGGTTGGCCAACATAAGTTAGTGATATACTAATGTCAAAAAGATGAGATTAATGGTTACCTTTCGAATAAGATTTAGTTTTCTTTTTCTTTTGTATGTGCTACTGGTTTCTTGTTTACATTCTTTATACTAGTTTGGAATCTGTTATCAAACACATGACATGTCATTTTGGTACTAGTTGATGTGTACCAAAGGTGGATGCAATGGCAAGAAATAGGTAACAAGACAGCGTTGAACAAGATTGTGACTCATGCATAAGAAAACAATGACTTGGATGAGACATGGATTGTTAAAATCCTTAATGGAGTTCACATATATATCATAGAAGGGCTGAACTAAAATTTGTAAATCATTCTTACAGGATAGAGTTGCATACATTGAACCTCCTCGGACCTTACATTAGCGGAAGCCTCTTGAACTGGACCTTACTTTATTGTCTTTTATTTCGGGATGTTGTGGTGGATTCTAAAAACATCTTCTTAAATTTGCTTGTCTTGATCTCATCTTAATTTAAAGTTAATATTTTGTTTGCAGTTTTTTCGTTTTTGTTCATATCCTCTATGATAAAATGTAAAACAACTTTTTAATTTTATTCCCTTTTAATGGTGTGTATTCAGGACTTACTTTAAAATGTTCAGGGAGATAGAATGTATATCAAAACTTGGAGGAAGTATCTGCATAAGGACTTACTAGGGGTATTTGACAATCAAAGATGGCCAAAAGACTTACTATGTTTATGAAAGTTGCCTTTGATATACATATGATTTTGACAAATCTTGTGTGATTGCATGCTGATATACTAGCATGTGGAAATGATGGCCAAATTGTTCTTTTAATTTTGCAGAGTTTCAGATATCTAGTATTCAAAAAGAGCATATTTCAACTGTGGAACACTTTATCCCTGATCTACAATCTCTTCGAGTCAGCCTTTGTCCCACCTACATGAGTGAGGAATCCTTTTGGAGGATATATTTTGCCTTGTTGCATCCCAAGCTGCGCAAACATGATTGTGAACTGTTATTAACTTATCAGGTAATGAGATTGAATTCTTCACGGTAACTACATGTCTAGGAAAATTTTCTCATATTTCAGAATTTTCCAAAAGACTTATTGCTATTCTATTTGGTAGTTGTAAATTAGATCTGTGTAAATATAGACTTCCAACCTTAGAGTGTTCATAATTACCCATATTTTACGACAGCAACATTAAGGCTTAATGTCTCAACTATTTACAGTTTTCTGCATGCGTCCTTAATTTATTTTACATTATTTTGCTTTCCATTTCATTTTTGCCACTATACACATGCATTTATTTTTAGATTTCGGATCCTTATTGGATGAGTTGATTTTAAAATATTGTTTATCAGGAATTCTGCTTGAATTTTCCACATCATTTTCGAGTACCCATGTCAACTTGACGCAACATGCTTTCTTGTATGAAACTTGATTGACCTGTCTAGAATCAGTTAGACTCGGACAATGTTGCTAGTGAAGAAGACTCATTGTCACTATTAAGGAAAGGATATCAGAAGAGATGAGGGAAAAGGGATAATATACAGATGAGTCATGGATATTGGTATCATCAGGTCATGTCAACTTGAATTGCATACATTAGAGCAAAATTCCCAACTCTAGATCGACTCATTAATAATCATGTCAAAAATACAGACCCACAACCCTCCCACTTGATACACACGCTAATCGACTCGATTTTATGTAACCCATTTAATGGAGGAGGCAGAAACAGTTTAAAGTTGACATTGATTGATCCATTGTGAAAAAGGTCTGAACTACTTACACTATACAAACTGGTCACTATGTAAAACCTTGGATTTATGCTAAAATGCATTTTTTGTATTGTTTTTACTTTTTTTTTGGGGTCAAAATTTGCCATCTCCTAATGGCAACACATACTTCAGAATATATGCATTGCATCTGATGGAAAAAAGAAGAAGATAAAAGTAGTAGTACTTTATCTTTTATACTTCCCAAGGATGGGAATGCCATGAGGAGGCTGATGAAAAGGCAATTGTTCAACAAACTGGTCTAGAATCAGTTAGACTCGGACAATGTTGCTAGTGAAGAAGACTCATTGTCACTATTAAGGAAAGGATATCAGAAGAGATGAGGGAAAAGGGATAATATACAGATGAGTCATGGATATTGGTATCATCAGGTCATGTCAACTTGAATTGCATACATTAGAGCAAAATTCCCAACTCTAGATCGACTCATTAATAATCATGTCAAAAATACAGACCCACAACCCTCCCACTTGATACACACTCTAATCGACTCGATTTTATGTAACCCATTTAATGGAGGAGGCAGAAACAGTTTAAAGTTGACATTGATTGATCCATTGTGAAAAAGGTCTGAACTACTTACACTATACAAACTGGTCACTATGTAAAACCTTGGATTTATGCTAAAATGCATTTTTTGTATTGTTTTTACTTTTTTTTTTGGGTCAAAATTTGCCATCTCCTAATGGCAACACATACTTCAGAATATATGCATTGCATCTGATGGAAAAAAGAAGAAGATAAAAGTAGTAGTACTTTATCTTTTATACTTCCCAAGGATGGGAATGCCATGAGGAGGCTGATGAAAAGGCAATTGTTCAACAAACAATAGAGAAATTCAAGAGTAATAGAGTTTCTTTAGGTTGGATTGAGAGACCTAGTTGTCCTGTTCAACTAAAGATGCTGTGTCGTAGTTTTTCCTTGGAAGAGGTCTCTTTTGGGTTTCCATACGAGGGATTATAGTGTCAAATTTTATTGTGTAGCAGCACTACAATGTTAATTTTTAACAAATATTTTTCATTGCACTTAGATGGGTATGTGTTCAATTGCTTTTATAGGAGAGAAGACATTCATGATGGATGTGTTTCATGATGGCAGTTGAAATTACCTATCCAGGTAGAATAGCTTGTATAGTTCATTAGCAGTTACAAAGTGAAATGAATCGACCTAGTGATTCTACAAACATTTCAATTGAAGAGTGACATAATAATGTTCACAATTTTCAATTAATCTGCATTCTTTTAGAGGCAAGATAAGCATATCCACTTTAGATAAAGAACCTTGGTAAATGTTATCTTTCAATACCCTCTCCACCCTACAAGTTACAAAGAGAGGTAGAGGGATTGTTTCTGTGTATACCTTAATTTTGCTTTTATCTCGTTGAGAAATCAGATAGATAGGCATCATGTGTGACTCCTTTTGTCCCTGTCCGCTAAATGCTGCCTAAATTTTCTTATATACTTGAGATTTGGTTATCATGTTTACTTCCTTTCAAGTTCTTCAGTTGTGCTTGCTAAATTTAAATTCTTGCACTTACTGTATTTTGTACTTCTATTCACTAATTACTTCATTTCTTCTTAGATTTCGTGGTTTGAATTTCCTTGAGATTTAAATGGCCAAAATTAGAATATTAACAAAATGTTGACATATGAAGCTATAAAAATTGCTTGAATATATTTGACAAAAGTAAATTAGTTATCTGAATATCAATAGAGGTTCTTATAATTCTTGAGTGCTGATTGCATTGTCTGAACATGTAATCTTAACAATGTGATTTTGCTGGTTCGAGAAGCCATTTCTTTGTTTCATATGCCTAGCTGACTTCAATTTGATGGCTTAAATTTACAGTCGTGATTGCTCTGGTGCAATATGTTTTAGGCATTAGAAAAACATGCATGTAGCTATTCTTTGTTGTTAACGTGCCTTCATATTGTGCTAATACTTGATACATTTTGTTTTGTTTTGACTTTTGAGAAAAGGACGAGTGGGATCATTTTCTCCTTTCTTAATGGTACATGGATAAATGCATGGATAAAGCAACCACTTGCTCCTCTCCTGACCTTGACTTATTTCCTATGCAGTGAATGCTGCGAATTCTCGAACTTCTTCAGGAAGCTCTTACTGCCTGCTTTGTTTTTTCAAATGGTTTAAGTCAAAACTTTTTTTAGCTACAAAATTAATCGAAAGAGACATATCTTTTCAAAATTAGCTGATCAGCTTTGTGCTTGTTGACACATTTCCTTCTCATTATCTTATTAGTCTCTTGGCAGATTGTGGACTCATTGCGCAGAATGGCAAAGGAGCCATGCAACAGACGAACTAAATCTGAGAACCAAGATTCAGAGAGCTTACCTTCATTGCTGAGTGAGAAACTTGGCGGTATCCAGCAAGAAGATAATGAATCCTGGGAAGATGCATTAATCACCATGATGAGATCTCAGCAAAGCATTGATCGGTGGTCCGAGGTAACCAGCGCAGTAGACACTTCCATTGGCACAACGAAACTTGGACCTGATGATATTTCACCAAGGGACACCAGCCAGGGCAATCTTTTTGTGATGGAGAAGTACATGGATTCGCTCTTGACAGAAGAGCAGGTGTGTGCATCGCACTCCTTTAGGAGGAAGCATGCTTCTGCTGGAGAGAAAAACATGGCTACTCGAAAAATGCCAAAACTGAAGATGTCTTCAGATGAGGAATCGAGTGATTGGCAAGCGGTCGAGGATTCTTCTGACTTTGAAATTCTGGAGAAATCTTCTATTGATAAGAGCACCTAGGGTTTCCGCCATTGTACATAGTTACCCTTTTTTCTTTTCTTGTTGTAAATGAACTCGGTTCAAGCTCTTCTAACTGCATAAAATCAGTCTGGCATAAAGTTCATCCTTGTATATTTATGGAATTAACTATCCTTTAATCTGATGGAAATCTGATGTCGATATCAATTGCCTCCAACTGCTAATTCTATTTTGTGTTTTGTTGTTTCTAACAAGTCCAAATGTTCATCAAATCATCATTAGAAGTTTCTGTTCAACCAGCCACTTAATGTCAAACTATCACAATTATGAACAACCCCATCTGTGAACATACTGAACAAACAAGAGACCATGTTTTCTCCATTGTTTTCTAAATGTATCTTTAAGAACAGTATCATTGTTTTCCTCCATTACCAGTGTGGAATTCCCTTTAAACACAGTCTTCATGATGTAGAAGTGAAGCTGCACTCCTCTCTAATGTATCTTTCTAGTTATACAATGATTAGGTTCTCTCTATAAATATCTTCTAGATCACTAAAGACATAAAATAAAGGTGAAGATACTGTTAATGGCTCAACCCTGTACCTCATTGGAGTTGGGCTAATGTAGTCATCAACCAATAGTTTTCAGATCTACTTGTCCTATGCTGGTCTAACAATTCCTTGTTCCAATCTCTACTTTCAAGAATGATGGTCAGTGTATGAAATATAATCTTTTTGGTCAGTAAGTGGGATTGATATAATCTTTGTTCCTGTTGCAAGTGGGGCTTCCTTTCTTAGACTTCACAGTGCTTAGCTGATACAAGCAATTCACTGCCATTCCTATAACAACATATGCTCAAGGAGTAATCCATAGAGGCATGATCAAGTTAGACCATATTAACTTAAATTATTTGAAACTAAGTTAAGATCAGTTATTAAGTCGATTTAGTATTATGATATGATACCATATTAACAAAAACATAAACATGAAGATAGGTAACATATAAATGTGATGTGTTTTGATGCCACAAACATACCAACAACACAAGAGAGCACTGAGGTAGTAAGACACATGCATTCCATTCATGTTAACCTAACCACATTTAGGATGAGTGCTTTAAGTCATTAATGGAAATTCTATTAGATTATAGTTCGCTTCGTAAGTGCTATTAACACCACCGTTGGTTGTTGTAATCTGTGTTATCAAGATTGCTTTGGAGTAGTACTATAGCATTTACTTCGTATGTATATTATGCAAAATAGATATACGTATATGTGTACATACATACATTTAAATTGAGATAATATAAAGATTAGGACAATGAAGCGAGAGAGGCTGTGGCATCATATCCTACGGCGCTCACGACCCCTCCACTGCCCTCCCCCCAAATAGCCTCGCCCACATACACACGCGCACGCAGACAACCCCTCTCTTCTTCTTCTTCTTCTTCTTCTTCTGCTTCTTCTTGTTTCCTGCCCCCAAATGCCCGAAACCCAGCAATCGAACACATATTGAATTCACGGATTCAATTGAAACCCGCAAACGGAACAATAAGATCGTTTGTTCGATCGATCCGATGAAGGCGGCGGCTGACAATCTCGCCGACTCGATGTCGACGTCGTCATCGGGAGGCGGCCTCTCGGGCCCGTCCTTGGAGCCGCGGCCTGCGGCGGCCGCGTCGCCCTTGGGGGGCGGGAGCATCGCGGCGGCCGAGGAGCCCGCGGCGGCGCTAGTTCCTCCCTCCCGGGACCCGGGCGGCGCCGGCGCAGGTGTGGGAGGGCAGGATGCAGTTACGGTGGAGCGGCGGGGATACCACTCGGCCGTGTGCCGGTGGGCGGTCCCGCACTTCCCCCGCGCGAAGGCGCGCGCCGTGTGGAGCCGATACTTCGAGGTGGCCGGCTACGACTGCCGCCTGCTGGTGTACCCGCGCGGCGACTCGCAGGCCCTCCCGGGCTACCTCTCCCTCTACCTCCAGATCGTCGACCCCCGCGGCTCCTCCTCCTCCTCCGGCGGCAACAAGTGGGACTGCTTCGCCAGTTACCGCCTTTCCGTCTCCAATCACCTCGATGACGCCAAGTCCGTCGCCCGCGACTCCTGGCACCGCTTCTCCTCCAAGAAGAAGTCCCATGGCTGGTGCGACTTCGCCCCCTTCTCCGCCGTCCTCGACCCGAGATCCGGTTTCCTACTCCCGCCCTCCGACTCCCTCCTTGTCACCGCTGACATCCTTCTGCTCCACGAGACCGTCGCGTTCAGCCGCGACCACGAACCCCAGCCGCCCCCGGCCGATGTCCTCGGGGGCAAGTTCACTTGGAAGGTGCACAACTTCAGCCTCTTCCGGGAGATGATCAAGACGCAGAAGATCATGAGCCCTGTGTTCCCCGCCGGCGATTGCAACCTCAGGATCAGCGTGTACCAGAGCTCCGTTGCCGGGGTCGACCACCTCTCCATGTGCCTCGAGAGCAAGGACACCGAGAAGACAGCCGCGGCCGCCACCGCCAGCCCTGCGGCCCCTGTCCCCGAGCGCAGCTGCTGGTGCCTCTTCCGGATGTCGGTGCTGAACCAGCGGCCCGGGTCGAACCACATGCACCGTGACTCCTACGGCCGATTCGCCGCCGACAACAAGGGCGGCGACAACACCAGCCTCGGGTGGAACGACTACATGCGCATGGAGGACTTCGTGGGGCCAGACGCTGGGTTCCTTGTCGATGACACTGCCGTCTTTAGCACGTCCTTCCATGTGATCAGGGAATCGAGCAACTTCACGAAGAACTCTGGACCTTTACTGGGCAGCAGCGGGGGGAGGGGGGCAGCAAGGAAATCGGATGGGCACTTTGGCAAGTTCACATGGAGGATCGAGAACTTCACGAGGCTCAAGGACCTGCTTAAGAAGCGCAAGATTACAGGGCTCTGTATTAAGAGTAGGAGGTTCCAGATTGGCAACCGAGACTGTCGCCTTATTGTTTATCCCAGGGGTAAGCTCATCATAATCATCTTAGTCTTGAGAGTGGGATTTGATTGACGAAGCTGTAACAAATCCTTCAAGTATTCCTTTGTGGAATACTTCAATCCTCTTGGGGAACTGAGATTCAGTTCACGGATTATTCTCACATTCAGAGGTGAATCTTATATACCTTGATTGTGCAGAATTGCTTTTTCTTTAATATTTATCATTTAGCTGCAAGGTATTCTAAGTTTGATGCTATTCTTGAGACTTAGGTACAAATTACGTAGTTTCATTGCTAATACCGAATCTTTATGGCCAGTTTGTTTTTCTGTAGTGACCTTTTTTGATTGAAGCAACTAGACAGTAGGATGAACTTTCAAAGAGATGCCCTTCAGTAGTATAAAAATGCAGTCACGTGGATCGTAATTTTTTAGTCACATGCCAATTGGAATGTTTGTAATTCATTAATTGAGGTAAGTGATGAAATAAACATACTGATCGAGTTCACCTTTTTTTTTCTCTTACATTTGAGATGGGCACCAGGGCAGTCTCAACCACCATGCCACCTCTCTGTATTCCTGGAAGTCACAGATTCCCGCAACACAGCAAGTGATTGGAGTTGCTTTGTAAGTCATCGATTGTCTGTTGTAAATCAGAAAATGGAGGAGAAATCTGTTACAAAGGAGTCACAAAATCGATATTCGAAGGCTGCAAAAGATTGGGGCTGGCGTGAGTTTGTGACTTTGACTAGTCTCTTTGATCAGGATTCTGGGTTTCTTGTTCAGGACACTGTAATTTTCTCAGCTGAGGTTTTAATATTGAAGGAGACTTCTATAATGCAAGAATTTAATGATACGGAACCTGAGTTAGCTATGATGTGTTCAGCTTCTCAAATTGATGCTATTTCAAAGAGAGGATCATTCACGTGGAGGGTGGAAAATTTTTTGTCCTTCAAGGAGATTATGGAAACACGCAAGATATTCAGCAAATTCTTTCAAGCTGGGGGTTGTGAGCTCCGAATAGGTACATTAAGGATCTAGATTTACTAAATTTTTTATATTGATATGCTTGCTTTCATTATGGAATTTATATATGTTACATTTACTCTGGCTACATTGCAGGTGTCTATGAGTCATTTGATATGATTTGTATATACCTGGAGAGTGATCAGTCTTCTGGGTCTGATCCTGACAAAAACTTATGGGTACGGTACAGAATGGCTGTTGTCAACCAGAAAAATCCTGCAAAAACTGTTTGGAAGGAATCTTCAATCTGCACAAAAACTTGGAACAATTCAGTGTTGCAGTTTATGAAGGTATCTGATTTGATGGAATCAGATGCAGGATTTCTCGTCCGTGACACTGTGGTATTCATTTGTGAGATCCTAGATTGCTGCCCCTGGTTTGAGTTTTCAGATCTTGAGGTAAGATAAATTCAGGAAATACTTCTGTATTATGTTACATGGAGCCTGTTTACTATTATCCATTGTCAAACCTAAATTTGTAAATTGATTCTTTCTATCATCATTAGACGTCTGGTGGTTGTCAAAACCATGCTGATGTTTTATATGACAATTAGATGAACATGAGTTTTAGAAAATTTGTTTTTTGTTTTTGGGCATTTTGAGATTTTTTTATCTGGTAGATTAATATCTAATTATCTCATGAAGATATAAGTACAACTTTGCTTTCTTATTCTCCTTGTTCTTTTCACCTATTTCTACATTCCATCCTCCTTCGGAGCTCCCCTTGCAAGTCTTGCCATATACGTTCAGACCACTTTGATCATTTATCACTGATATAGGAATATATCACAGTTGTTAATTTGTCATTCTGCAACGATATGAGACATAGACTATGGCCTAAGAAACTCTACTAGAAATAATAACTCATGAAATTGAGATGCCTTGTTGTTCTTGTTGTTCTGCCAAACTAATTTTTCAATGACCTGATTGACTTCAGCTTATCTGATTATTAGGTAACAAACATCTCCATTATTTCTGAATGCATTGTGGTAAATTCCTAGGCTGAGAAAAAAACATGCAAATGAAATCACATGATTTTGTGTACATCTGGGAAGGATGGTTAATACTTAATATTACTTTTTGTCAGATAACTTTAACATCAGGAGTTTTCTATTGTTTTGCTGGTAATGTCTCTAGGTGGTATTTATGATCATTACCCTTTCATGCATCACAATCTTGTATTAATGATTTTCTTTTAACTGTATTGTATTTTTCTGGTCAATATTGAGAAGCCAGAACCATATCGGATCAGCATGAACCAGTGGGCGTGGTACTGGGAAAAATATTGGCCAGTAAGCTACAACAAAATTAGGATATTAGTTTGATTTTAGAACTTAAGCAAGTTTTACAGTATAGTTGTGTACCAGTACCAGAATGTACTAGTATGTTCTGGCTGCTATGGTGAACCTCAATATTCAAGACCTAGTTATTGGCATTTGCTTCTTACCAGACCTTTCCACAATGAAGATGTAGTTTGATGTTGTTGTTGCTTTCCTTTATAAAGAGGCATGACTTGATTTGAATAAAATTAAAGAAGGATCTGCATTAGAGTCTTATTTAAGCAATAGCTAAGTTTCAATTTTTAGAAAGCTTTTAGTCTGCTGTTGAGAATGTTGGTGACTGGTGATGCTAGCACAAAAATCAGGGACTGAAATGTTCAATTTCATAATCTGCTGAAGGTGGATAGAGTGTCACTCTGTCACTAATTCCATCATTACAATTAAGGAAAGAAAATATGCTACAATTTGTTTAGCTAATAACCTCGATGTGGCTATAATAGCTTATTTGTAAAATCAGTCTGTTTACTCTATGCTTCTCTTGGTTAAATAAATTGTGTGTTAGATGTTAATGTTTCCTCTCTGTAAGATCTGTTTATGATGTCAAGCTGTGTGAAATGAAATGCAGATTTCTTTTAGCGCCGAAGTATCCATCTTCTGTGTTTCTAGTATATGTATGCCAGGTTTACTGGTAGCTCGCATAATGCATATTATCTATGCTCATTTGCATCAGTTACATGTAACAGTTCAGGTTTTTTGATATTTGACATGTTTTCTTCTGCCTGCCAAATTTTCCTTGAATAGAACAAGTAAATGAGCTCGTCTTGTTGGTATACTTGTGTAAGCAAGCTTGGGTTTCTGATGTTTTTGTTGTCAGGTTTTTGCTTCGGAAGATGAGCAGGATGCATTGTCGACAGACCCAGATGAACTTATTGAGTCTGAGGATAGTGAAGGTATCAGTGGAGATGAAGAAGACATGTTCAGAAACCTTCTCTCACGAGCAGGTTTCCATTTGACTTATGGAGATAACCCCTCTCAACCCCAGGTCACTTTAAGAGAAAAGCTTCTAATTGATGCTGGTGCAATTGCTGGATTTCTGACTGGTCTGCGTGTTTATCTTGATGACCCTGCTAAAGTCAAGCGCTTGCTTCTTCCTACTAAACTGTCTTCGGGTATCTGTGGCAAGAAAGATTCTTTAAAGGGTGATGCAAATTCTCCAAGCTTGATGAATTTGTTGATGGGGGTTAAAGTCTTGCAACAAGCTATCATCGACTTACTCCTAGATATAATGGTGGAGTGTTGTCAAACATCAGAAGGAAGAACAGGGTATGATTCTTCTGAAACAAGCTCCAAAACTTCTCCTGGATCAAATGGAGCTAACACTCCACCAGAACACAGTGGTGATAGTGAAGTATCAACAGAGTATGCAAGATGTGATATGTACCAGAGACTGGAACCTGGAGTAGAAGAAATCAGCCACACCTATGCGGTACAGAGCTCACAACTGAACACAGGTGAGATTGTACAGAAAACTAACCAGGAGCAGCACATTTTTCCTCCTCAGACTTCTGCTAGGGATGAACCATCAGATGATGGTTTTGTTCGAGCTCCAAAGGTACTGTGTATATTTTAGCCCTAACATTCTGATCATCTTTGAATTTGATATTATCCTTCACTTAATGCTCTACAAATAATTGTTTTTTAGACAAAATGGCCTGAACAATCTGAGGAACTTTTGGGATTAATTATCAATTCATTGAGAGCCCTGGATAGTGCTGTGCCACAAGGATGCCCCGAACCTAAAAGGCGGCCTCAGACAATCCAGAAGATTATTCTTGTGCTTGACAAAGCTCCAAAACATCTTCAGCCTGATTTAATTGCCCTTATACCCAAATTGACTGATCCTTCAGAACATTCTCTTGCAGCTTGTGCACTCTTAGATTGCCTTCAAAAGCCAGATGCTGAGCCTTCGTTGCGATTACAGGTATTTCATTCTATATTATATTTTATGCTATTTATTCCTGGATGTACCACATATAACATACAAACCTTGTGTTAGTAGTTTCTTGGAAGAATTTTAATCTTTATATGCATGAATTGCTATGTTATGCTGTTAATATATGGTGCCTAATACTATTTTATCTGCTTTTAAGGTTTTTGGTGCTCTGGGCCAGTTGGAGTTTGGAAGTGAGGTATGGGAACGCATCCTATATCAGGCTTTTGAGTTGTTGACTGATTCCAGTGACGAGCCCCTTGTAGCAACAATGAGTTTTGTTTTCAAAGCTGCATCACAGTGCCAGCATCTTCCTCAAGCTGTATGTTTGAAGTTTCTGGATGACCTGAATTAATTTTCATACATTGTATATTTCAAGACTGGTTGTTGACCTTTCTGTCTTTCTGATTTCTTTTGCCCCGCCTATAGGTCAGAGCTTTTCGTTTGAGACTAAAGAGTCTTGGTACTGAAGTTCCTCAATGTGTTCTGCATATTCTGACAAAAATACTCCATACTTGCGCAGATGTGGCTGAAGCCATTATAAATGATATCGACTCTGATAGTGAACTTGATGGTAATTGCACGATATCTTGTGGTACTTATGCTGATGGTACAAATGGGGTTTCTCCTGGTGGGATGCATGTGGGGAAAGATCAGGTTGTGCATGGATGTCACAATCACGCTGATGTTTATATTTTAGTAGAGATGTTATCCATACCTGGATTATTTGTTGAAGTTTCACAGGTCTTTGAAAGAGCTTTAATTCGAGGGGCCATTGGGCTGCAATCAGTTGCTTTGGTATTAGAAAGGCGCCATTCTCAAAGGTTGAACATTAAATCTACGTCTATTGTGGATGATTCACAAAACAGGCAAGCCCTGTTAGATGAAAATATTGATTCATTGTCTGTCCAAGAAGATGATTTCGCATCAGTTCTTTCTCTTGGTGAAGTGTTATCTCTTTCTAGGGATACCAGAGTCCAGGACTTTGTGAGGATGCTTTATGCCATTATGTTCAAAATATATGCTGAGGAGCATTACAGATTTAGGATGTTGAAGGGGCTTGTAGAACGTGCAGCTAATGTGTCCAATAGTTGCCGCGTAGTTGATATAGATATGGATGTTTTGGTATTTCTTGTTAGGGAGGAAGATGGAATAGCTAGACCAGTTTTGAACATATTACGAGAGGTTGCTGAAGTTTCTCAGGTTGATCGTGCAAATCTTTGGCACCAGATATGTGCCGTCGAGGATGAAAATGTTCGTTTTAGAGAGGAAAGACAAGAGGAAATTGCAAATTTTGCTCATGAAAAAGCTGCTTTGTCCCAAAGGCTAAATGAATCTGAGGCAACTACAAACCGTCTTAAGGTCCCTACCTTCTTGTTTGAATTGCTGGGCTACATTAAACTGTACCCTTATATCATTGCCCTCTAATTATTAGGTTGGTTATTTTCTTGAATGGCAGGCTGAGTTAAAATCTGAGATGGAGCAGTTTGCTCGCGAAAGGAAGGAACTAACTGAGCAGATACTTGACGTCGAGAATCAGTTGGAATGGCTTCGATCAGAGAAAGATGAGGAAATTGCAAAGCTCTCTGCTGACAGGAGAGGCCTTCAGGACCGCCTTCATGATGCAGAGACACAACTTTCGCAGTTGAAAACTCGGAAGCGCGATGAATTAAAGGTAGTGTATGCTTGATTGGAACAAAGGATATTTTACATCCTTTCTGAATGCTTTCGTTTGACATTGTAATTTGACTTGTCATTTCATATGTAAAACGTGTTTTGCTAGTTATTTAGAAGCATTAGTTTTTCTGATTGCCATTTAAGAAGCATTTATGACTCAACATAACCATGCATTGTGACATCCATTGGACATATCTCATGCAAGTTGTGACAATTTTTTGCTTTTTTCCCTCCAAATTTTGAAAATTTTTGAACAAAGTAGCAGTATGTATGTAGACAATGCTGTTTTGGACCTTGGGCATAAACTATTTTGGATTTTTTGCAAAAGTACAACAACTAGGATTTTGAACTTTTTAATTGTGTTCTAATTGGTTGGTTACTAGGTGACTGTTATTGAAAAATTTGAGAAGCTTTATATTAGGGTTTTTTTTTCTTTTGTTTAAACCAACTAGAAGTCTTTATTAGAGAACACACTGCCTAAGGATTTCTTTATCTTTATCAGGTGATGTAAGTTTAATTGTTATTGTATTAGTGATGAAGCAATGCTTCATTAATAGACTATATGGCAAATCTTTCCTTCTCAAATTAACAGAAGTGGTGGTGAAGGGATTCAGGCTAACAATCTGAGTTATGGCTGTGTATATATTTGTTTATGCATGTGTTGCATATTGTACTTGCAAGTATGGGGGTGTCTCAATTGACATGCTTGCTCATTATTCTTGGTTTCTTCAATATTATTTTCCCTTTTTTGGGTACCAGCTTCATTATGCTTTATGGTTCTGGATCTTTCATGTGTCTGTAGAATTTGATTTTTCTTTAGTTTTAGATAACATATATTCTGAATAAAACTTTCTTCTACAGTACTTTTTATGTTAAATGAGAGTATCACAATGTTATTTAACGAAAGATTCTCTGTTCAGTTTTTGTTTTACACAGACAATGAACTGTAACTTTTTAGTTATGGAATATTATAGTTCATGGTCGGAAGTCCTATTAAATTACATGATTGATATTTGTATTATTTTATTTCAATATGGCAGTTATAACAATCACATTATTGTTATTTATTTGGCCTGAATTCTTGCATAAGTTACTAATAAATACCATTATCTTTCATGTCAATGTGACATTGTGATGGTTATCAATTCCTTGCATTTCTTCTTCATAAGAATTAGCTTGTTATATGTCTTCTGTAGTGTGTACTGTACAACCAATAACTAGGCAATGGTTCTAGTTGGTATCAGCAATTAATTTGACCTTATAACCAATGCAGAGAGTAGTCAAGGAGAAAAATGCCTTGGCTGAACGATTGAAAAGTGCAGAAGCTGCACGTAAAAGATTTGATGAAGAATTAAAGCGATATGCCACAGAGACAGTGACAAGAGAGGAAGTCAGGCAATCACTGGAAGATGAAGTGCGGCGTTTAACACAAACTGTTGGACAGACTGAAGGAGAAAAAAGGGAGAAGGAAGAACAGATTGCTCGCTGTGAAGCATATATTGATGGAATGGAAGCGAGGTTGCAAACATGCCAGGTTTTGTCCTTGTCTTAATTCAATAGTACAAGTTTCTCTGTTTTACTCATTGTTCATACTTCATAGCATATCATTACTGACCTGATATGTTCTGGATTTCTTAAGGTGTCCTCATGTAGCAGGATTTTTGTATGTTAATGGGATGATTACATCACCAGTTTATGAGATATCAGTGAAGACTCTTTGCTAGTATATGTAAGATAGAACTTGTTGTACAGCACAACATGATACCTCAACTGTTTCTTCACAGTAGCTATTGTCTTTTTCTGTTTTGTGCAACTGGAAACTAAAAAAGAGAATAAAGTTGACAAAAGAGAGTTAGTTGTGTGCGTTATGGGGTGTTGCTAGGGTCAACAATGTGGGTTACTTAAAGCTATAGGATATACCAGTTAGGCAAAACCGTTAAATTAACAGGAAAGATTCACAAATGGTGCCAAGAAACTATGCTTCCAAAAGGTTGGATATTGAAGAACCACATTCGTGTCAAGCATTGCAAAAGGAAAGATGAGAGTCGAGAACTGGTAAAGAATAAGTAGATAAGTAATGTCCTTGCCATTGCCAATGTTTCATTTTTTATGGTAAAATATAGGCATTAAAATGGAAGTCCTCACTTAACCTGGTACCTTGATGAATTATGTTTTTTCTGACATATTTTCATATCAAGCGGCTCAGGAAAACAATTTAATAATAAAAGCAATCAATAACTTTCTCGTATTATGTACCCGGAGAGATAGCATTCTTACATTTTTTTGTACTTACCAAATTTTTGGAGCCACAATTTGCTATTGTAATCAAGAGAACTTCTATGTGGATCAAACATATGTTCCTTGAAGCAATGATATCATTGGTATTATGTCTGAATATGCCTAATAAAAAGAAATTAACTACACTGTGGCTATATTATTTATTACTTAAGATGTGAAAAATTAAATAAAAACTGAACAGTACATTGATTTTTACATTTTAATACATGTCCCACTACAAAGTGCTATTGCTGCCATTATCTTGATCTTAAGATGAAGCCATAAGTGATCAAATGCAAGAGCTACTCAAATCTCTGGGTCGGTTATGACATCTGCCACAAATAATTTGGACCACTAACAGAATTATTCTTCAAATTTATAGTTGCTAATGTGCTCTAGAGTAATGCATGTGTTAAATTTCAACATTAGTTGAAGGAATGGAGATCTTTTGAGCAACCTTTGGTGCTAACTGTCTTGATTCTCATTTATAAGTATAGCATGGATGAGCTGGCTGAAATGGTTTTTGTCATCTGGAAATGTAATACTCGCACAGTGGATCATGAAAAATGGAATTTGATATAAAGCAATGGACAAACCATTTCAAAGAATTGTATCTACTAGTATAATTTCTTGTGGGCAAAACTAAGTTTGACTGCATTAAACAAGAAATGATTTGATGCACTAAAAGCAAGAACTTTATTTGAATGAGAAGGATTAAGAGCTTTAAAGTGCTTGTGTTGAGAGATGGTCGATTTCAAGTAATCTGTAAATTTTAATTCATAATAATTGAGTTCCCTTGTATGTTTATGGTCATGGCATTGTGCATGATTGCTCTTTCTTCAATGGTCCACCAAAGCCCTAAATGGGTATTGAAATAAGCTTTAGTTGCGTCAAGATATAATGACAAAATAAAAAGACGATGATTTTGACATATTAAACAAGGCATGTGGAAAATTACTTTGAGCCTTGTCGTGTTTGCATCTATAGGAGAGCAAACCTTGGTACTATAGGTTACTCTTTTGCAACTTGGGGGACTAGGGTTCAAGCTACACAAACAAGTTATCTACCTATATGGTTAAGGCTCTCTGCATGTATTTACTCTTAGTAGACCCTATGTTGGTGGAAGTTTTGTGCACTAGGCCACTCTTTTCAGTATTTAATTTTCAGAATCCATAGTTGTTAGAATGTGCCATTGTCCATCAAGATTTTAGGTTGGTAAAATTGTTTCTTTTTAACCATTTCAGGGTAGTAGCCTCTTGAAGGAATAAGTGGAGTCATGTCCTGAGTCTATTATGTTCAGATTTTGAGTTGTGATTTAGGAGGGAACCAAGTTTTGCCGTTTGATCAGTTAACCTTGAAGAAATCTTTTTGTTCTTTGACCTCCAAAAAAGTTGGGATTTGTATTATCTGGGAACCTTCATGATTACTAACATAGAAGGAATTAGTATGCTTTTGTATGGGTTGCTTCTTTTGTCTCCTTTCATCAGATCAAACTCTCAGATACAGATCCAGACACTATTGTTATGTTGAGCAATACCAGATAATCTTTTGTGCCAGAATATCTTTTGTTTTTCCACACTTCATTACAGGTTCTGTAGGAGGTTTAGACTTCTTAGGAACCTATTCTGATAGTTGTTTTTGTTATCTTCTCTGATAATTGGCCAAATAATGGTTATATTTTAGCTTCTTCCTTTTTTGCACCTTTTATTTTTTTGTGTACTCTCTATCTTTCTCTTCCAAGAATTTATTTATAATAATCTTAATTTTTCAGTCAAGCAACCAATACTTGCTTTAATTGGACTTTTTTAAAATGAAACCAGTGAAGTTCCGATCACTAAGTGAATTGGAGGTTATTCTATTTGCTTGTGTGAATGAAAGTTAACTAATACATGTTTACTTGCTTGAATCAGCTAGACATTTTGAACCACAACCAGCAAATTCAGCATTGGTTCCCTTTTTTTCCTTTACTAAAGATGTTGCTCTAGTTGCTTGTGCAATTTATGTTTTATAAGTACTTCGATCCATAATTGTGTTCCCTTTTTCAATAGACCGCAAAAAGATTTCACATTCAGCTACATTTTAATGCTATTTGATCATAATGTTGAACTTTTTGATGGACTCCAAATATTTTCCCTTAATCATCTCTCTTTGTTGTTTTGCAGCAATATATACATACACTTGAAGCTTCACTGCAAGAAGAAATGTCACGCCATGCCCCACTTTACGGTGCAGGTTTGGAAGCCTTGTCAATGAACGAACTCGAGACACTTGCCCGTATTCATGAAGAAGGCCTCAGGCAGATCCATGCGATTCAGCAGATGAAAAGTAGTAGCAATTCGCTGGTGGGTGGGCATTCTCTTCCACAAGTTCATGGCTTATATTCTTCGGCTCCTCCAATGGCTGTTGGTATGCCTCCATCTATAATCCCAAATGGAGGCGGAATCCATGGTAACGGCCATATGAATGGTGCGGTGGGGCCCTGGTTCAGTCCCACCTAAGATAAGAAGGGAAAGGCGTGTCCATATTTCCCGTACGAGTAAGAATGTTGTTCTCCTGGTCTTGCTCTACCAGCTGTCAAGTGATTGATATGATAGCTTTTCTCCCCCATTTCCCCACTCTCCCAAGTCACCTTTTCATTTGAACTGGTAGAACTATCGGATTACCTGATATGAGAAAGTGTGATCATGTATAAATAAGCCAAGAAACATACTCTGAGAAAATAGTTTTGTAATAATTTGAAGTAAAAGAAAAAAAAAATCCGATGGAGCTAGCAGTTGCAAATGAAAGCTTTTCATATGATTGATCCCACCCACAATCTTTTGGTCACTTATTGTTTGAGAGTTTGTTTGTACTCATTGGGTTTGTCTGGGGTTACCTGTCTATAATTTAAGACAATATTAAATGTTACCAGTCCATGTTCTAAGTGCACATATAGTTAGTGAGTTGTTTGCTGTTGATATGCATGTTTGATGTCATAACCAGGAAACTAATGCAGTTCTGCTGGCCTTTACAATGAAGTATGTCCAACTTCACCCATAGAGCAATAATCATTGAAAGCTTGTGTTATGTGAAGTCAATTTTAATTTGGTTGGGATGATAGTCATCACATGATTTCCTTGTCAGCTTCAGGATTTACTATTTGTTATGGTGATATGGTGAAGCTTTCATTTAATTGAGTTCTTGTGATACCTTTGAGTTATGTGCTTGATGAATGGAATATGATACCAGAGTACAGTGAAAGCTTTAGGATATGAATTTGTAAGCATAAAAATCATGATTATATTATTATATAAAAAATTTAATGTTAAATGTCGGCTTGGTTTTACAATCAAATAATAATAAATTAAATTTATGATAAGATTAAATAATAATAAATTAAATTTATGATGAATGCTTTTTGATATTATTTAAAAAAAATTTATCTGATCTATAGGCATACTGTCATCAAATCTGAAAGTTATAGTGATGTCGATCTGTAAAAAAAGTTAGACTCATTTTTTTTTCTCCTATTATCTTTCACAGGATTATTATGAGCGATGAATTAATAATCGAGAAGATGAGAGAAAAAATATAATATATTAATGATTGATTCATGTGACTAATTTGAGATGGGAGAATATCTATAATTTTTTAATAATATTATGTCATGTATCGACACTAAGTCCATAGGAGGTTTTGTCTATTTATAAGTGAGAGCAAGGATCTGGGATAAATAATTATGAAAGTTTTTTCAATCAAGGTAATCTCCTGTGGACTCCTAAGACTTTTTTATTGTTCAATAATCGTAATCAAAATTTAATCATATTTATAATATATCTTGGTTAGATAAGATCATATAATTTAACATTCTTACATTTTGCCTATTAATTGATAAGATATAAAAAAATTAAAATTAAAATAATTAAACCAAAATTTTATTTAAAAATAATTTTATTTAATTAGATTATAAAAATTTGAAAAAGCATTTTACATGCGCATGCAAATTTTGTAAAACAGGACAAAAAGTCCAATAAACATAATAACATATTAAATTTGACTACTAATGCGAGTCATAACGATCGGTAGTATATTATTTATATCATACTTCAATCTATGTGTCATAACATTGTTAACTTTTCTTAATATAGTCTAAATTGACCTTTGTAATTTATCTTGTCAAGACAATCATGTTATATATATTCAACCATAATATGCACATATATAAATATCAACAATAAAAATAAATAATTTTAATTACGTAAATAAGAATATCAATTATAATGTCCACTCAAACAAGTATTACTATATCTTTTATGGGTTACTCACAAACCCAATCATAATAACATATTATTTTAAACACTTTAGGTTGTAAGTCCTCGATGAATGAATTAACAATCAATACAGTAAAATTAAAGTTTTTAATTAATATTAATTATTTCTGGACTCTTTTTCTTTAATCATTAAGTACTTTATATCATATTGTATAGAACTACTAGAGTACTTGTTATCTATAGAGAAGAATACTATTTTGATATGTCACAAAGTATCTTCAGCGACTTGGTAATTAAGTTTGACCACACCAATTCTTGAGATAAAAATCTACAGTTATAAAGTTTGATTAATTACCTCAAAGCATATCACAAAATCAGCTTTTATTATTGATAATGTAATAATATGTTACTTAATATTTTTCTATATATTATCCTTTTAACTAATAAATATAAAATATAAAGTGAACTTTCTAAGATAATTTATAAAATCAACATGTGAAAATACTATCATTTCAAGCTAATGTAATTATATATATATATATATATATATATATATATATATATATGAGCATATAATCTTTCTAGATATCTTATTACTTTCTTTATAATATTTTAATATTTTATTCTTAGGTAACTCTAATATATACCTAGTATTTTGATTATAAAATTGATATCTAGTTTGGTATAGGCTTTAGCATGCAATAGACTTCCGATTGCACATACATAAAAAAAAATTTATCTATTTTTTTTTAATTATTTTAAAAATATTTATTTTGATTAATATTTTTTACTAATGTTATTTGCTAAATAAAGTTATATATTAAATCTCAAAATTTTAATAATCTTTGATATCTATTTCTAAATATCCCAATGCTAATAACATAAGATGCTTCATATCAATCATCTTAAAATTCTTAGTGAAAATCCTTTTAGTTTGTTGACAAGTAAAATATTATCCACATATAGACTAATATAATAAAATAGCTCCCACTAACCTTCAGATATAAATATTGAAGTATAGTATTTTTATTAAATTTAAAAGAAATAATGATATTATGAAATTTTATATATAATTGTGTAACTCGAAATCATAATGAGACACTAATATCATGATGATTCTTAATGAGTTTATTTAAAAAACTAAAGAAAATTCTTGGTATGATCGATGTATTTTTTATGAGTAAATCATTTGATCATAAGTTTGGTTGTTATATCATTCGATATTACCCTTCGAGTCATGTTTGTATAATAGAGACTTTTAAGGTTATCAAGCAATTTAATGGGTTCCCAAACACTATTCTAGTCATTGATTTCAACTTTTATTTTATTATATAATATTATTTTTTAAATCACTATTTTTCATTACTTAGTGAAAACAATAAGGAATCCTTTTGATTCCTATACTATAATATGATTCTTATATATACTACAAAATTAAAAAAGAGTAGATTTCCTTTTATTCTCAAAACTATTGATTATGATTATTCTATAAGTTTATCAATAACAATATCAATATTATATAGAAGTTCACTAATATTATTTTGTTATTTATTTTTATTAAACCATTTAATGATTTAAGGAATAACAATATCTTCAATATAAAATAATAAAAGAGTATCAACATATATCTCCTCAATGTCAAGATTAAATTTTAAGATTTTTATTCTCACTAATTCATTATTTTTTAGGAATATTATATTGTTAGATTTAACTATCCTTTTACTATTATTAGGGTAATAAAATCTATATCTCTTTTATTTTTTTTGATAAATAATAACATTTTCAAAAATAGTTCTTGAATCCGAATTCCTTTTATGTGAATTGAAGATCCTTATATCTTCAAGATAATCTTAAATATATAAATACCTTAAATTAGGTTTCCTATCAATTCATAACTAAAAAAAGTTGATGAAATTGACTTACTAAGAATCTTATTCAAGATATACATAATTGTCTATAGATTTTTCTCCTCATATTGATTTAGGTATAAAAGAATAATTCATCATGCTCCTAATCATATATATCAGAGTATAATTTTGTCTTTCAAGAATTTCATTATGCTGTAGCACATCTTGTAAGACATATTGAATACCTTATTTTTCTAAAAACTAGAATAATGATTAAGCTCATCATAAATATTATAAATTTACCACCATTATTAGATTTAATAATTTAAACTTTTCTATTTAGTTATCTCTTGACTTTATTTATGTACACCTAAAGGTGTCAACAGTTGATACCTTAGATAGTCATATCTCAATAGGTAATCTATAAAGGTGATAAAATGTGTCTCTCCACTAAAACAGGGAACATTGAGTGATCCACGGATATAAACATATATAATCTCAAGGAATTCATGAAACTACGTTTCATTATAATATTTGATTTTATGATCATTGTAAACTTAAAATTCATATTAATTTTACACAAACCATCATGTAGAATTTAAAAGTTAACTTTTATTGAATCATGAATATACTTAGCTGATAACCGCTAAAAAAAAAATAATATCCCAATAATTTCATATAAAGAAATTAAATTTCTAGAATTATAAGAAGATAACATCAAATGAATCATCTTTAAGCATAAGTGATAAGTTTGACTACTATTACTTTTGCTTTAAGATGATTCCTTATAATAATAAATATTTCATTTTTTTTTTATTTTTGTATTAAAATGAATCTCTATTATTAGTAACATAAGTTAAAGTATTAGTATCAATCTATCAAGTATTAGAAAAGGACTTTTGTAATGTTGGATTTAAATCATACAAAGGTTAAACTTATACATTTCTCATTCAAACCAAAACATTGTAATTCTCTTTTACATAATCTTTCTTGTCACAAAAGTTGCACCCTATGAAGATTTTTATTTTATGAGCTATTTATAAACTCAGATAATTTATTCTTCAATTTTTTTATTGTTATCTACTTTTTGAATAATATCTAAAATATTATGAGTCTTTACTACTTTAATATTAATTCTTTCTAAACATATATACTAGTTAACTCATTAAATTTTACGTATCTTTAATTTTATTATAATAAATTTTAAATGAGTCAAATTAGGAAGAAATACAATTAAGAATAAATTGTATAAGGAAGAACTGAACTACATTTATGCTCAATGTTTTTTAGTTTACAGTTTTGTTAGGTATATTAAGGATATAATCTTAAATTTCTCAAATATTATTATATTAAATTTCAGTCAGTTCATTCATTAATATATAAACCAATGATTTATCAATAAATTTAAATTGATCTTATTCGAATGGGCTAGTTATAGACTATAATAAAATCTAAATATCATTAATAATTATCATAAAACTAAGTCATTTAGATCTTTCTCAACCAGTTCTCTTATTTATTTGTTCCATAGAACTTTTACTAGTTATATCTATAATCCTTTCAATTAGTCCGATCAAGATTTAACACACTCAATGCAAATTACATATATTTAAGTTATTTATAATAATTTAATCTAGAAAATATATGAATATTTACAAAAATACAATGATAAAAGTACCATTATAATAAAATAAAATAATATTAATATTTTAAGTTTTTCAATAAATATTGGACGATTGATATCATCTCTATTTCACTTTTAGATAAAATATTGATATATCTAATATTCACACAAAAGTATATATAGAGGTTGATACCATCCGTATGAAATAATATTGTTACCTTTGAGTATCTGTCCTAAATTGCAAGGATATCCAAAACAGTATCATCCTATACTATAACATAATTATTTAAAGTAGATTCTCTTTTGGGATTATCTAAATCTCCTTATTATGTATATCATTGTAAATATTTTTTTGATACTATTTAAGAGTAATTCTTTAATATAATTTTATAAGTTATTGGTTTAGGCCACTTTGGTGGATATAAAACCAATCAATAATATAAAATATAATTTAAAATATCTTATAAATAATAAAACTTTTATTATAATTTAAATTCCATAAGCCTACCATCCCAAGCCACTTTGGTCGTTATAATATTAATCAATATAAAGAAAATTTTATATAATAATTGTAATCATGATGAAGCATAAACCATATCTTTCTATAAAAAATAAATATTATTTCATAATTTTAAAAATATATATGTGAATAACCAAATAAATATCCAAAATGAATAATTATATTTTTATTTATCGCACGAAAATTTTATCAATATATCATATGAGAAAACTATAGAAAAAAATCATAATTTATGTATTTTTAATTTCATATATATTCCTAAATTAGACGAGTTAATTCTATTTAATTGGGTAGACCCAGAATTAAGCTATCCAAATTGGGCTCATAGATTTGGATCAACCATTCGCCTAATTAGGTTTGTTAAAATTAAAATTGAACAAAATAAAAATTAATCAAAATTTGATTTTTTTCTAAATTCGATCAAAACTTAATTGATTGAATCTAAATTCAATCAAGTAATCAAAATATAATTATAATCAAGTTTGATTAAAAATTTAATTAAAATAAAATAAATTATTTAATTTTATAATTGAGGATAAAAGTTAAAAAAAAAAATTTAATTTCTGAGGGGTAAAATTATAGTTTATGAAGGATATATAATGGGAATATTTAATTTATGAGGGGTAAAAATATTAAAAGTATAGTAAAATTATGATTTTAATAAATGAAACCCTAACTCACAACCAGCCTCGTAGTCACGTGTCGATGGTGCAGTGGCCATCTACTGCCTATGCACTATCTGTTGTAGCATGCTTCTTCTCACACAGTCGACCGATGACCTCATCAGTCGTTGCGGCATGTCATTGCGTCCAACCACTTCATTCCTTACCGATAGAACACCTCTGTGGTGCACCGTTGATCGAGCGCTGCCAATGGATCATCCCATGCGTGGCTGTACACTTGTGTCGACTAGTGACCCCCACAGTCACTGCGGCGTGTAGTTATGCACTCGCGTTCGTTGCGCAGCCATTAGGTACTGCAGCTTTCGACGTCGACCTACAACCAAGGCAGGTCGACCATCACAAGCAAGGAAGAATACAAACTAGATAGAAAACAGATTGACCATATAAACAAATCGTTCAAGTATCATAAATCAAAACCAAATAATACTTTTTCGCAAGCGAATGGTGTTAATAAACAAATCTAAATACAAAATAGATGTAAAATACTTTTATGATCTAAAATATTTGATATCAAAACATGGCTCTAATACTAATTATGAGCATAAAAATCATGATTATGCTATTATATGAAAAAAATTAATGTTAGAAAATGAAATCAAATAACAATAGATCAAATTTGTTATGCGTGCCTCTCGATGCTACTCAAAAAGTCTTTATCTTATCTATAAGTACACCATCATCAAATTCGAAAGCTACAGTGATGTTGATCTGCAAGAAAAGCTAGACTTGTCTTTACCTTTCTTCCTATCCTTCGTAGAACCACTATGAGTGATGATTTAAAGATTAGAGACAAAGGAGAGATGATACAAGGGGAGATGAGAGAATATATGTAATCTTTCAATAATGTCATGTCACCTATCCACACTGAGTCCCTAGGAGGTCTTATCTATTTATAGGCAAGAGCAAAAAGTCTAAGATAAGTAATTAAGAGAATCCCTCCCATCATGATCATCTCCTAAATAATCTTATCATAATTGGACTTCTAAACTATTGGTCAGTAACCATAATTAAAATTCAATCATATCTATAAAATATATTACCTAATTAAAAAGTATTACTACTACAAGCTCTAATATCTCAATCCAATAGACAGTCCATTGTAGTCTCCCAATTATTCGGATCAATCAAAATTTAATATGCAAAGCTCAATCAATCAAATCTATCGTGTTAGCATGAGCTAAAGAGAAGAATATTTTTTAAAATATTTTTTATTTTAAGAATATTATCCTCACCTTTCTACAAATAGTAAATAGAAATCAAACATCTTATTTTTGATCCTCACATAAAGACTCACCATTCTACAAATAGTAAATAGAAATCAAAATGTTATTGTTGATCCTCATATAAAAGACTCCTCTTGAGAGAGTCATCATGAGAGATATCAGCTTCTCGAAGATTTGATAGCCTTTTAGTTAGCAAGTCAGGTCAGATCAAACCTACTTGTCATGTTAGTCCAAGAATGCTGTGTAAAGGAGTGACAGATCATATGCACACCCCTCCGAATCAAAGAAGTCATCCAAGGAGTGCCGCAGTTAGAAACTTGATTATTACTCTTAAACCAAATTCTTGACCTAAATACAATACTAAACTTGATGTTCCAACACTTCTCACCTCATCCTTTATATCAGAGTTGCAAATCAAATAGATTGCATGAACACATCAAATAATAATAGCAGTAGTAGCTTTAGTAATAGGAAACTATGCAGACATGGATACTGTGGTGCTACAATGTACTGAGTTCATGTGTGACAGACAACTTAAATGGATAGACATTCAACATCAAGTGTCAAAGGTGTGAAGATTTCAAGCATGCCATGGAGGTAATCATCCTGAGCAGCAAAACAGCCTTCTTCCCCTGTCTTGCGTTTCACTGGACAACCGCATCCCCGATGATCGCGATGGCCGGGCTTTAGCTAGTCTTTTAGCTGTGCGGGATGACAAAAAGCAGGCAAAGATTGTGTTGAATGCATTGAGACAGTGGAAGAGGGAGGAACGGTGACAAATTTACCTATTTCATAGAAGAGCTCATTGATGTTTTCTGCTGTTTTCGCGGAAGTTTCCATGAAGAACAACCCATTCTCTTGTGCATACTGCAAGCCTTCCTGAGATGTATCCAAAGTTTCAGCATGCAAATCTATTAGTAGTGTCACTGAGCATTTCACGTAGAAGCTTCACCACAGGGTTTACTTAATTGCTTGACTGCTTGTTTTCCTATCTAAGAATGATGAAGATGCTGTATATAAATTTTCATTTATTACCTCCATTCCACGATAAACACTCAATCCTATTTGTAGGATTTACTAGTATTTGGAGTAGATTGTGATGCATATCATGTATACAATAACAATAACAAAGACATAAGTCCCACTAATATTTGGGGCAGGCTATATGGATTTTTGCTGTCAACATTTTCATCTCAATAACATAAACTTTTTATATATGTTGTGTCTTAACTGCTCAACACTTAGATCTATAATGTATTATTAGTCTTATAACTGTCTTATAAATATTTTTTTTTAATCTTAAAGGTATCCAATGATCACATAGGACTCCTGACAAAGTGAACTAGGAAAGGTGGACACTGGACTAATTACAATATGTAAGCATGATGGAATGAACCACGATTCTCTACATCTGAGCTTAGTTTGTCTTACTTCTTCTCTCTGGCTATGGCATTCCTTATGACTCAGGGAACTTCAACTAGAATAATTCTCGCTAAGCACTCTTGAACAAGTAAACTCTTCTCAGCTAGCATTTGCTTTATACTCCTCAATGTTCACTAGTTTGAGGCTAAACGAGGGCTTCGTTATGATTCACTAGTCAATATAATAGAGAAAGATAATTAAAGTGTCCAACACATGATATAATGAAGTAACCTCCCTGCGATACTCACTTATTGCTTTAAAGTTTAGAGTCTGAGCATATAGAGAATAAGTGAAAAGATCCTAGGAACCAGATTCACTACTAGGGGAAAAATACATTTGAACAACCATCAAAGGTCTTCAATAACCATCCTATTTTTTCTCTGTATAATATCCTCATCGATTTCTCTATCTTTTTGGATAACTGATCCAAGATACCTAAAACTTTTACATAGAGGGACTTCTTAACTATATTTTCCTATCTATTCAACTTAACTATATTCTCCTAAAGCTTTTATTATCCATTCAACTTAACTATATTCTCCCATATATTCCTAGAATCACTAAAATTATATTTTATATATTCAGTCACTTAATTTGAAACTTTTAGTTTCTAAGGCTTGCCTCTATAGCTCAAGTTTATAACATATTAAGAATATCTTATGAGATACAACTTATTCACTTGCAGTTGCTGCTTGTTTGCTTGTTTTATAGCCTCATTTTGTAATGAACAGGACTTTTAACCCAACACAGAATTTGCAGCTTGAGTTTGAAGCTACATGTCTAGTTGTTTGCTCTTGGATATAAAAAGCCTAAGGATGAATTGGCACTGCAAGAAATGATGACAATGGATACAAACATATAATTCATTTGGAATGTCAATCCCTTGCCTGTTATCTGAATCATTGGATGTGATGACTTGTTCAACATAAGAGATAGGCACAATGGTGATTGTTAAGCAGGTTTAATTTTTTTTTCTTTTTTTCGGGGTAATTTGAGGTTCTTGTACCATATTGATTGTAACAGGAATCAAATGCAAAAATTTAAGAGTTTACACCACAGAAACAGGTGGTCATTTACCTCAGATCCCACCTTCCTTTTTGACTCCAAGTCAACCTTGTTTGCCACCAATGCCATTATTAGATATGGATTTCCTAGAATAGTGAAAATTTTATCAAGTTATATGAGATATTATAACTCAATAGAACACAGAATGCAGATTCAGGTGACAAATTTCATATACAAAAACTAGTCTGACACTCCTACTGTTGGAGCAGCTATAAAAAGCACTAAAATGCATGATGAGCCAAGGACAACTATAATATTGTCTGCAAATGACTAGTCAACATATTTTGTATAGATTTTAGTTATAAAAGAATCCAACATTAGCGAATCTGTCTCAGAAACTTGAGACAAAGAAAAGTTCAATGGCAGGGATGATTTGCTTTATAAGAGATATCTAACTTTTGAAGTATGGAGTGAAATAATTGACATGTTGCACATAATCCTAATTCAGGTAAAATTAGTATCTTAGAGACATAAAGTCACCTTGTCTTTGAAGTTCTTGAACCCACTTTTTTGCTCTAATAAATGAATCCTGCGGGCAGCAGAAATATGTTCTTGAATTAAACATAATCATCCATCTCAACAGTGTAAAGCAAATAAATCAAAGAACAGAGAGTTCCCCTATAAGGATGACAAGATTTAGTTCTTAGATGATGCATAAGTTTCTCTTTTGAAATGACCAAACATTGAATCTAGTCCAAAAACTAATGATCACCACATAACTGATGTACCCATATGTGCCATACAAAATCTCATGTATAGTGAAGATCTGTGCCAAAAAGAACAACTTGTTAATCTGAGGATTCTAACCCATATTGTAAATAAAATGAAGAAATACATGGTTGTAAAATGTAGAAAGCTCAAAAACACAAAATCACATATAAACCTGATGTTTCTATGTGCATTGACCAGTGCTTAAATATCCAAGAACTAGACAAATGGCAAGGGCAGAGGACTTCTTCTTCTTCTTCTTCTTCTATGTGCATCGACCATTACTTAAATATCCAAGAACTAGAGAAATGGCAAGAGCAGAGGACTTGCCAAACTTCAACTGAAGCAACTAAGCACTAGTAATCTAACAATTTATCTATCCCCTGCATATGCTAGTTTAAGCTAGTTTGACAAGAAGTGGACCATGTTTGCAGCTCATGTGATATGTGAACTCCAGTGCAACTACAGGATGATAATGATAATGATGGTAATCATTGGTGATACCAATGCTTGTTTTAGGTGTGACCATATGTATCTCATCTAAAATGATGCCAATATGCATGACTACTAGGAACTATGTGAAAGAAACTTCCAAAATTGTGTCAATATAAAGAGCACATGTGAGAAACTATTGTGGCAATCAGAAAACAGCATAGGAAAAACTCTTGCATGCTTTCCATGAACAAGAAATGGAATCATGAGTAAGAACCAGCAAAGTTGCACAATGATAAAAAGATGGAGCCTAACATGTCTCACATGAGAATTATGATTTTGTCTCAAAGGAAAAAGTTATCACTCTGAAAGGAAATGAAAAAACAACCATTTTAAATCCGAGGTTTCAGACTTTTGTGTTGACTAAGAAAAATGAAGTATAGTAGTAGATTGCAGGGGAAAATCCAATTTATATAGCAAGGCAGCTTATTATTCCTTATAATGACAGCAAAAGCCAAGAGAACAGGTAGGCACTTGCATAACATATTCTGATCTCTACAACAATATTTGAACTTTATCACATCATTCAATACTGAAAAAAAATATTTTGTTACCTATATTAGGAAATTATATATTTCATTTCTAAATATAATTTATAGCAGAAGGTTTTAGATTCATTATAATTTCGTCTAACTTTTACTTTTAGAAAAAAAAATCTGTTTGAACTTTCTTTTGTGAGGAAATGAAGTTACAGTCAAGTCTGTTTACTATCTCAAGAAACTGCACACTCACCACCATCTTTTGTTGCCATAAGAAAAAAAAAAGTCTTACTTGTAGATATTAGTGCAATAAAATGTGTACCATGCTTGAGATATCATAGACAACAATAGCCGCAGCAGCACCACGATAATACATAGGGGCCAAACTATGATATCTTTCTTGCCCAGCTGTGTCCCATATATCAAATTTTACAGTAGCCTCATTAAGTGATAGAACTTGAGAGAAGAATGCAGCTCCTATTGTTGATTCCTGAGAAATGAACACCCAGTTTCTCTGAATACTTTTTTCTATGAATTATTTCAGAGGAAATCAAAGAAGATAGTGAAAATTTATAGACCTGACAGTCGAAATATTGGCCTTTGACAAACCTCAGGACTATGCTTGTCTTTCCAGTTCCCATGTCTCCAAGAAGTACCTGCAAGAGTTATATTCTTTTAGCAAATGTCCAAAACATAAGCCACTGGGTCAAATTTTCTAAAATTTAGATAAGATGCTTTTAATTACTAAGTCCAAGACAATAATTTAAGCCGCACAAAATGATTTGAGAATTAGTCACTATATCAGCTGCAATTAACTCCATATTCTGCAGGGATCTGATGATTGCATAAATTTCTTTCTTGATTGTGGCTTTATTCTGAAGTATGGATCCTGACTTCAGGTTTTGAGCTGCCAATCAGTGCTTGTTGACTTGTAGAATGACTACGATGCAAGTTATTTCATGCTTTCTTAAGTTATGGCATCTTTGCCACAGTACAGTCTCCATGCCTCTTTCCAATTGAGAATTATCATTTGCCTTATGCAACAGGTTAAGTACTAAGCTACTAAAACAAGCAATAAGTCAAACCAGCCTTCCTTTCAACAGTCATTTTCACACAATTACACCCCAGTATTTCTAAAAATCAAGTAATAGATATTAATGCATATTGCACACTGAAAATCAAGTTTTCAATGTTATAATCAACCTCCAATCCAAAAAAGGTAATTATTTATTTCATCATTTTACATATTGGTGGCAGAAGGGGTTTGATGACTGAGAATTGTCTAAAAGAATGTCAAATGGTAAATGCAAATAAATCTAGCTAGGATGGAAATAGCTTCAAAATCATCTGACCGTATGTTCCAGGTTTGCAGATTATACTAAACCTTTGCAATGTCCTTTCTCAGTCTAAGAATGATTGTGGTGGTATTATAAGGGCAGATATTATAATAAAGTCGAAGAGTTGCAAACTGATACTTCTACTTAACACAGACACAAATATCTGAATGATACAGAACATAGAGCAGATAAAAACATATGTTCAGCAATAGCCAATGCAATGCCATATCTAGAGTAATTTGCATCATATGTCAACATGTAGTTCATTTTGGCAATAAATCATACATCTCATCTCCAACCAAGATGATACTGTAGTTCATGCAATGTCTGTTACAAGGCACAAAATTTTCTAGGACATATTTATGCTTGGACCCTAATAATGCTTTATGTGAAGCAATAAATCATCCAGAACAACTTCATTCAACCACAAAAGTTAGCGCTAACACAGTTAATGTTCAAGTATACAAAATCTAAACACACACACACACGCACACACAAGTCAAGTGATTCTGGTTTCTTCTTCTTAATGTCATAAACAGGTTACAATTAATCCCAATGTTCTTTATGATTCAACCAGGAACATGCCACCCTCTTCTTGATCCATTAAAACAAAGGCTGGATCAAACAGTACAAGAAGAAAGAGATCAACAAGAGCAGATAAAGGTTTTAGACCAAGAAGGCGAGTAAAGGGAAGACATACCTACCAGCTTGGCTTGTATGTTGCCGCTGCCCATCCTGGCCATGAGACCCAACACCTGAAGGAGAACAACCGGAGCAGAGGAACAGATGGTGATCACTTTGGGAGGTCATGGAGAGGAAGATGGAGGAGGAATTGACAAGGGAATGGTAGGTTTGACTCTGACCTGTGGGCGCTGGCTCTGCGAGTCAAAGGACCCCTCCCGTGCGTTGACTGACAGTTGGGGTCAACGGTCACAGCCGCTGACGGAAGCGGCTGCGCTGCACCAGTATCCAAACAACTGTTGTGATGCCACGCGAGTCAACGGGGTATTGTTTGTGGGTTGCGATTAGCGGAAAAGGACATCATCACATGGTCAAAGTGAAGCAAAGTGATGTCGCGCAGGAGACGATCAATTCACTTTTGAGTTGTATGGAAAGACTATTTCTACCGATCACTGTATTAGATTGAATAGTTACGAAGATATTAGATTGTGTCCGTCTATGATCATGATTCGGAAGAAACCACCTGATAACGTTGATGGTTTTGTCTCTCAACAAGAGAGATATGGAGGTACTAATTATATATTATCTCATATAATTAGATCTCTTTAGTATTTTGATCTTTATACTTAAAAAAATTATATTAAAATATTTATAATTATAAAAATAAAACATCTATCTTTATTTATTCTAACATTATCGGTTTACCAATAGAAGAATGAAAATAATAGATAAAAAATATAACTTCAATGTTGTAGTTGGTGGTGATAGACGATGGCGTCGCTAACGACCTCAAGTAGTTATTATGGATAAAGAGAACAATGACAAGAGGTGAGGACCACTTTGTATATACATCGACATTGATGCAATTGTCGAGCGATGAAAAAGCTGCTTAGCATCTGCATGATCTCCTTCGAAATTAGCATAGGAAAGTTAACAAAGCGGGCATCACAGTCCTCTATACCCTTCCTCTTCCTCGGGTGGTGTTTCCGCCTGCTACTCTTCTATTGCCTTTCATCCTCTTACATTATAGTTAAGAAAAAAAATAGAAGGTGATGTTGGACACAGTGCCTAAGGTTGAAGCTCCTACCACGGTGGCCACAACGATGCCATAGGAGGTTATGGTGGGAACAAGGATGCTGAAGGTGGATCCATTAGAGAAGATGATCACAATGACGATGAGATTGAAGGCAGCATCTCCCGTCGCTTCAACAAGCCACATCGATAACGAAAGGAATCAATGGTCCAAAGGATAAGCTGAGGAGGAATAGACGACATAGAAGAGGAAGACGTTAAGGTTTTGCCTCTCTCTTCAAGGAGGAGATCATGGTGGATTTCAAAGTGATCATAGGAAAAAGATCATGCAACTGTCAAGCGGCTCTTTCACTGCTTTGTATTTGTGTCGACTTTGACGCAGTTGCCAAGTGATGTCATTTTGCATTTGTGTTTGCGCCGATGTAGATGTTGAGAAACATTTTTGTTGCCTAGCAACTACATTAATACTGACACTTATACAGAGCTGCAAAAGAGTCCCTCGGTAATTATATTGGTGTCGATGAGAATGTAAAATTACTCTCATATCTTGTCATCGCTCTTCTCATCCACAATAATCACTTATGGCCTCTAGTAGCATTGTTGTCTGCCACCATCAACTAGAACATTAAAATTATCTTTTTATTTATTATTTGTATACTTTCGTTAGTAAAATCGATGATGTTACGATATATGAAACTAGAATTTTACTTAAAACCAATGTAAATTTTTTAAATCTAAAAATTAGAATATTAAATAGGTCTACCTACATGCGAAAATATATAAAGAACTAATTTACGAAGAGGTGTAGTTGCATGATTTTTGAATATAGCATGGATGAATCCAATTATAATATATTTTCTTTCATATAAACTTATAATGTTCTTATGCATGTGTCAAAAATATTATAGTTTGGTACAGAAATCTTTTTTGTCTATATGTTGTTGTTCCAGTTACAAAATATTCTTTTTAAAACCTTATAAAGGATGATAAATTAGTTTACTATTTAATTATAATATTTTTACAAAAAATATTAAAAATACAATAATATTATTTAAAAATAATATAATTAGATCGATTCACTATATGAAACGATCCAAACAATTTTTTTGACTTATCCAGTTAGAAATATTTCGAGATATAAGAAAGAAATCCAAAATAGGAGATATTTTCATGGAAACTCGTCCATATATGTATACATATAATTTTATATTTTAAATATTATTTATAAAAATATATATTTTTATTTTTAATTTAATTTATATCAAAATATCGGTCACGTGCATACATCCAAAGTACAAACAAACCGTCTTTGGGAACACACAATCCAAACTGCCTTCCGTGCGATGAGTAGCCGTTTCGGTGCCGTCCCACTCACAGATTCAAAATCCCGAACCCACCACGTTCGCCTTTGTAACGGTAGAGTGACCGTTGACTGGGTGGGCCACACCACGTGCTCTCCACTGACACCCCTTTACTCGCTTTATATATATATATATATACATGTCATCTTATTATTAGTCTCCGTGATATTATTATACAACGATAAATTACATTAGAATATGATTAGACTAAGCTCTAACTGGACATTCAACTTAAGTCAGGTGAATGATGTACGTTATCATCGAGCTAACTGTTTAGATTTTTTTTTAGTGTGTTAAATGGTAAAAATTAGGTTGATCACCGAAAAAATCATGTCAAATGGTATACGAGATATAAATATTTTTTTAGTAAAATTTCTCTTATCTGACGATTAAGATTAACTATATCAAACAATGACTCGTTTATTTTATGATTTAAAAATTCGTTTAATAATTATTTTAAGACAGCTAACTTAGCTTGTAAAGAAAAACAATTACCTTATAAAGCTAATTTTTGCCACTTACCTTTATGAAAAAACCAGCTAAATTAGTAGTTTTGCCGTACCTCTGTTGCTGGTGGGCCCCGCTCGAGAGAGAGTATGGAGTTGCCGTATTACTGTTGGGCCCCTCTCGGCTTCTCTGCTTCTAATTTGTTGCTTTGCTGTAGAAAGGAAGTCGGGGAGGTAAGAGTAAGCAGTCTGCTCCTCTGCTCTGAGCTGTCCCTCTGCTGTAGGCAGTCGATCCATTCCTTACACTGCCGGTTTCCTTCCTCTCCCCGCTCTTCTGCCTACAGCCGCACCACCACCACCCAACATTACGCCTCCTCGTCCCACACTCGCCTTCCTTCTCCCCAGACCTGACGTCGTGAGCTACGAGCATCAAGAAGGACAGAGAGATGTTCGATTGTTTTGTGGGTGGGAAGTTCTCAGGAAAATGGTAAGTGTTTGCTAAAAATCTCTCCCTTTTTCTCTTCTTTGCGTGCTCTTTGGGTGTTGTTTCTGATGGATGATCGATGTTGGCTTATTTGTGCGGGACGCGTATGTGCAGCCGGAGCTCCGTGAAGCGCATAAAGTCGCGGATCGAGGCGATCGGGAAGAAGAAGCAGGCCGTGCTGAGGCTCCTCAAGAATGACGTTGCGGACCTCCTCGCCGCCGGCCGTGATTCCGACGCCTTCGGAAGGGTGTGTGTGTGTATGCTTGTCTTTCTTTCTTGGCTCCACATCGTCACCTTCTTCCTCTTTTAGTTACGTCTTTCTCTAATTCTTTCAAATCACCACTACAGAGATGACGCAATTTAAATGGAATGGGAATCAGCTTCATTCTGAAATGAATTGTTGCATTCTGTGTCGAAGAAAGATTTCATTGTTCTCTATGAAATGGCTATTAGGTCTTCACTTTCTTCCTTCTTTTTTCCCCTTTAATTGTGGTCAAGGACCGTGGAATTATGTCTATGATTTTCCCAGTAGGTGGAATTTTGCTCAGATTTGGGTCATGTTCTGCATAATTGCGGAATCCCTAATTCTTAACCAAATGAAGATGTGGCGTTGAGCAATAATGAAGCAGGAAAATTTTGTAGCAGCCATGGTAAATCTAGGTTTACAAAGAGTTTGGATGTAGCTTTCCTTTGATTTCTTGAAAAAACCATGTTTGGATATGGTTAAAGCAACTTGGTGGATTTGGCTGTTCAAAATTTGCCAGCACAATGCTAAACCCTACTTGGTTGGACCCCCTACCAGCCAATTGCTCCTTTTGGTATATTTAATTGTCTATCTCATCGAAATCCGAGCACTAAACATGTCCCCATATGATTTAAAAACGATGGCATCTGCTCTTGGAATCATCCTGTACACCGATGAGTCGTGTCTTACCCATGTAGCCTGTCCCATACTGGTGGTGGGGCACTTGCTTCTAACACCGAGACCATGAAACACTGTTAAGGTTTAAATTATGCAATTGCTTGTGCAAGGTTTAAAACACTGGTATATTTGTTTTGACTATAGATCATGGTTTTAGCTTGTGCAATTGCTTTGTGGCTTATTTGTCTTAGTCAATTGTTCTCATCATTATTAATTCTATAAGATTTCTAATACGTCAATTTGCTTCCTTTTCTGCTGCTCTGAAACAGATTGATGCACTGATTTCTGAGATAAATCAAAGTTCTTGCTATGAAATGATTGAGCAATTCTGTGACCTTATCTTAAATCAGCTTCCAAGCCTAAGAAAGAAAAGGTATTTTCAGCTTTTCTGATTCTTATCAAAATAAATCTACATAATTTGCCATCCAAGATCTTCATCATGTTATTAATGATGTGTTTATGGAACTAATTGGTCTGTGTTCTACCACGACATAATAGCTTTTGGCTAATAATTAATAGCTTAGTATTTTGTTCAAAGACAGTGAGGACCTTACTCATCTGGTTATATATTTCATTGCTCCAGTTAGAACAAGAAGAATCGTTGATTTAGCTAATGTAAAGCAAATTTTTAGCTGGTTTTACAAACAGGAATTGATTTTATACGTGGCCTACATCTGATGAGAAGAAAAGATCAACTTGCATCTTCTAAGGTGTCCCAATGCATAAGGCTCCTGCTAATATGAGCTCTGAGTAGGATCAATTCACTAAAGTTTTTAATTTCAAGATTAAATGATAAAAAGTGTCTTTTATAGCCCAGTTAAGATGCAACTCCACTTTGTCTTCCACCTTATCTTGCTTTGATGTGCATGATCCTAGTGGAAAGATTCTTTTATATTTGAAG